ATGTTCAGGAACATTCGGTAAAGAGAAATCCCAAACAAGCTCACCTTGAAGAAATATGCCGTTGGATCCTAATGGCATAAAAGATATTTTTGGTAGGATCCCTACGAGAGCATGATCATGGTTTATAGCAATATCTCATTAAACAAATAGTGCACCTTAATTTCCAACAAAAATTAACTGCAGTTTCATGATCGGTAATTTTGTTAAATTTTCGGATATCGCTCCAGTCTATAAAATCCTTTCTTTGTTAAATGTCGCCCGTCTTTGTGGCGATGAAATTTCTTCTTTTTCTATTTCAGAGATATTTTGTATGACTGAGCATAAGTTGCTGAGGACATTTCATTAATAGTTTGGTAGCATCTCTTTCCTTACCCTTGTAGCCTCAAATCTAACAATGTAATGTTGGTTTTGTTGTGTTGTGATATATTTGACCTTTCATTCTGAAATAGCTACTCTTCCATGAGATATACGAATATTTGCTGCAAATAACAAACAAGAATGTATTATAGTTATAACTGCGTATATTTTTTGTGAAATTAACGCCTTCGTTAATGTTTCTTTCAAGAAAGGGGCGAAAAGCTTTTAAGTTAGTTGTAGTGGTGGAATATCTACTTTTTCATGTTGCTAACAATTATATGATTTACCTTTAAACAAAATGTAAATGTTAAAGTCATATTAAATTTATAGGTCACGCATTAAAATATTATTTTCAACGAATCTTTTGTTTTCTACTTCTTGTTCCCTTCCTGCTTCATTTATATATTTTTTTATTGGTTTCGATCAACTTCTCTCATTTGCTGCTTCTCTATTTCATTCATGCTAGAACGACATCTCCCCCCCCCTCGCCACATTCGTACTCTTTCTTGATGCCCCATTTGGACATTTTTTTCTATTAATCTCTCCTTGTATCTTTTAATTTGTTGTCTTGATGCTTTTCTGTGCCTTTCACTAATGACTGTTAAAAACATTTATTGACAATGTATTGTAATAATAAAGTATTATGCTTATTTATTAAAAAAAATAAAATAAATATTTTGAATATTCTCTTCCTCTACCCTCCTCGATGGGATTGACACACACGAAAGGTCCACTTCTATCTCTCTTTCTATCCTCTTATAAGAACATAATACGTATATATATATATATATATATATATATATATATATATATATATATATATATATATATATATTGAATAAATAACAAACATTATGTTTGCTTATTTTTATCATAATCCTTTCATATTCACGAATATTTTTCTATATATTACAATCAAATAAGGCAAGAAATGCACTGTAACAGTAATAATTACTTTTATTTCTAAAGTACTTTCCATCTATTTCTGATTTTCACTGTTACAGTGCATTTCTTGATTTATTTCATTGTAATATACGGAAAAATATTCGTGAATATGAAATGATTATGGTCATAATAAGCAGATATAATGTTTGTAATTTATTCAGTCATATATATATATATATATATATATATATATATATATATCTGTGTGTGTGTGTGTGTGTGTGTGTGCGTGTGCGTGTGTGTGTGTATTTATCAGATGTTCACGCAATACCAGGCCCAAGAGCAATTCAAATTAGAGGAAGTTGTTGTATAATCGCAAGTGATGCCAGATGATTATATGTATGATAAATAACGATTGAAATTAGATTTGAAGAGGTTAAGATTGTTGTAACTGAGGAAGCATCATCACGGGAGTCTGTTCCACAAAGTAGCGGTTCTCGGGAGGAAGCTGTCCAAATGGAACTTCCTCTTTACTTATGGAATACGAAGGGAAGGAGGAAGATTTGACTCTGTGTACTTTTCATGGCGGTTCCTAGATGTAAATGTTTGGATTGATAGAATTAAGGAATGCAGCTCCTCAAAACATTTACCCTGGAAATAGCGATAAGGTAGCGCGATATGCTTTCTACGTTTCGTCTGCGGGAAATGGGTTGTAGGGTGGAAAATATTTAATCACCTACAAGGGCGCGTAAACGCTTTTGTACTCTGCCAAATTTAGAAAGTGAGGATTGTGTAGCTCCAGCTCAGGTATGACAGCAATAGTCCATTTTTTGTCTGACCTGACTTTTGTAAAAACAGAGTATGGCAAGAGGGGTCAGATATTTTCTGGAACGGTACATTTTCCCAGAATCTTTAGTGAGAGATTTTGTATATGAGTTCTGCTTGAGATCTGGGATGAACTTGAGTCCCAGTAGACTTACAATGCAAGAAGCCCTCATTAAGAGTAAAACCATTCATCATGGCTGGAGAAAATTCAGGGTCAGTTCGCTGATGAAGGAAAGTAAAAATTTATTTTGGTGTTACTGAATGTTGCCAGCCAGATTTATTCCATTGAACTATTAGATTAGCGAGCAATTGTCACATTCTAATAATCTAGAGTTTTAGAAGGGTACTCATAAACCAGAGTATCATTTTCATAGATCTGCGAATATTCCTGAACAGAGTGTTAATATAAAATAGAAAGAGGGTGGGAGCGAGGAAAGTGTTCTGGGGCATACCTGCATTGACCCCATGGGCTTCAGAAGACTGTCCATTAACTACGACTTTCATAGACTTATATGTTTGGAAGAAGTTTATAATTGGGATGACTCTTCCAGAGACACCATAACGGGAGAGTTTCTGTAACAATCCTCCCTATGCTACACCTTGTCGAAGGCCCTTGAGGTATCTAAGGTGATCGCTCTAGTAATATGTTTATTATCGAGAGCATCGTTGAGTTTGTGTGTAATTACAGGACATCAACAGTGAACCTAGAGGTAGTTACTCATGAGTTGATAAACAAACCTTCTTTTTTATGATAGACGCAAGGAGTTACCTGATGATACTAAGAAGGATGATAGTGTGATATTGCAACGGAGATCAGCGTTCACCTGCATTCTTGAAAATAGGGAATGCAGCCGTTTATAGACCTGCCAAACATTTCTTCTTCGGACACTGATTAAACAACTTTATCAGGATTGGAAATAATTCTGGGCTAAGATTTTTAAGAACGATCATTGGAATTTTATCTGGTCCGGTATCCTTCGTAGAGTCAAATCTTTTGATGAGTCTGGAAACTTCCTGAGATGATATAGAGAAGTCCGGTAAGGGATGCCCATTGTCGCCTAACGTGGAGTTAGAGGCAAAAGTTCATTTCAAGAACTTAACCTTATCCGAAAAGTATGAAATAACTTCAGTGCCGTTTATAATAGAATGCATTGACGTTTTGCCACTATTACGAATCCTATTTGTAATTTTCCAGAACTTTCGGTAAGCAAGTCTCTTAGAACACGTAGCGGTTCTTTATATTTTCCAGAATGCTCTTGCCCTTATTGCAGTCATTTCTGAATGCAGCAATACTTCTGCTACAGAGTGGTTATGGTCAGATATGTCACCAGCACATTCAGGCATAAACTAAGGTTGGCTATTCGGTCTTTTCTGATACTTTTTGTGTGGTATAAAACTCTCCATACTTGAAAGAATCCATTCGGAAATGAGTGAGGCTGTTCCGAGAGGGTCGATTTTTAAAGAATGTTCGGAGAGTAGCTTCCGCCGAAAAGAGAGAAAGACATACATTTTTACATCACACACACACACACACACACACACACACACACACACACACACACACACACACACACATATATATATATATATATATATATATATATAGAGAGAGAGAGAGAGAGTGAATATAAACTAAATAACTAGTAACATCATATGCGGGAGAGATCGTGAGCAAAATAAATATTTATTTAATTTAATTTATGCTGCAAAAGAAACAGTGCTCAATGTAGTTAAACAGGGCTATGAAGTATAGATTAATAAATACAAATATCCCTAGGTTTGCAGTGCAGCTTAAAGTTCGTGGTTTCCCAAGTTGTCAGCCACATATGGCAACAAATGAACCACTTATATGGTGCGATGGATAAATTGGCGTCTAAATTACACTGACATCTCATTTTAAAAGATATTTACCAAAAATCACAAAAATATCCTGAAATACTAAAGAGTATATTTTTTCAATAAATCGCCATTGGCTTCAACCACATCCTCCAAACAACTTTGGAATCTCTTGCAACTTTTCTGGGTGATCTCCTTTTTTTAAGTTGATGCATGCTGCCATAATGCTTGCCTTCAGTTCATCTTTGGTGCTGCAAGGAGTTTTGTTGGTCTCTCGCTCAACTGCGCCACACACATAATAATCAAGGGGGTTGAAGTCTGGGGAGTTAAGTGGCCAGATGATAGAGGGGGTCTTTTTGCAGAAATTGTCTGACAGCCATGATTGGGTTCTCTTGTTTGTGTTGCATGGTGCATAGTCCTGTTGCTAGACATAGGATCTTCCAGCAACCACCCTCTTGACCCAAGGTAGCATTACCTCATCAAGGCACTTGGTGTACGCCTCCGTGTTGATTCTGAGGCCTTGTTGGAAGATAAATGGAGGTATAACTTCACCATGATGTTGACTGGATATATCATCCAACTCTTTCCGAATCCACTGCACCGTTCTCAGATTGACATCCAAATACTCGGAAATGATCGTCTTGGAGCTTCCGGAAACAATGCCAAACAATACAGCATGACGTTTCCAAATTTCTGATTTTATTTTACATATTTAAATGTAATGGATGTGCTGAAATTATACAGTAACATTCAGTTGAATTCGACAAACTACTTCATCGAATATAACGAAGATAGAAATTCAGCCAGTTACATCTCACATGGCAAAGGTTTCACCTGGTTTTTCTGTGTTATGTGACAGGTATTTTCCTCACCTACACATCAAGCTGTATTTTCGAACACACGCTCGTTCTCTAAGATCTTCGAGCAACTAAATGAAATCCTGTGCATTTTTCAGCAGATTTTTCGGAATGCCTACTTGACGATGGTAATTATATTGACAATTATATTGGCAATTACATTGTTAATTATATTGACTCCAAACAAAATACAAATATTGGATGGAAAAATGGTTGGAAAAGAAAATGGCTGAATTTTATTTTGTTGGTACTAAAATTAATTTATCTATCGATGCTTTATTAAACATATTGAATATACAAATTTATGACCAACAGAGATTATGAAAACAATGTATAAGCGGAAACTATATAATGCAAGGAAATTCTAAGTGATAAAATAAATTAAGTATATGTGAATTATTGGCGGGTAAATTATTCAGCATAGTAAAATATTCAAGATAGTTTTCAAAGGAAATTCAATTACTCTAAATGTTTTCTTAAAAATTGAAAATAAATACCGAAACCATTTTTCGAAATTTTTCTTAATTTGTTAATCGGTACGTGATGAAAAATGAAATGTTACATTTCAACGAATTAATCGACTTTAATTTGTTATATATTTTAAATGTCCGAATTTCTATCATTGGTTATCATTACAAAATAGTTAAATTTATAGATTATTCATATAATTTGTGGAACATATCAAATTATGCGAGGGTTTTCGTAGTTTTTGCAAACATTACATGAATAATATTAATTATTAATAATAATTCTATTTTCTCTACTTTATTTTGATTCTTTCTTTCTCATTTTTCAGCAAAGCCCTCCGCCTCCCATGCATTAGCCTCTTTTCCTCTCTTCTTCTTTTTACCACATTATTTTCTCTCTATTTGGTATCTATCATGTTCTTCTCTTCATTTTATACCGCATCCTTCACCTTAAGATTTGTCTTTATGGTTAAAAAATCTACTTTTCATCTTTTCTCCTTTTAAAAATACTGTGAATATCTTTTATTTATTCATTCAAGCACTTTTATTCAAGTTAGTTTTTTTATTTTATTTTCAAGAGTATTCACTAAAGGTAGACATCGTTTTAATCCATTCACCGTTTTTGTTTTATTTAGGTGCATGTATTTTCTGATATCTAATTGGTCAGATTCTTCGGGACTATCTTGTTTCCCCGCCTTTTTTTAACTATTCAGTTTTACTGAGTGTTTACACTAGTTCTTCAGTTTTACTGAGTGTTTAGTTCAATCTTGCACGACTGGATTTGGAACAACAGTAAAATAAATGAAAGAAAGAAGCAAAAATCGGAAAAAATAAAAGAAAACGTGAGCTAAAGGTAGTCGACACATATGGCGCCATAACTACCGTGACAGTTCCATATTGAGGGTCTCTCTATAGAACCGAATAAATCAGTATTTTTTGTTGTTTTGTGATATTTCCTAGTGTCATAGCACTTTAGACTGGATTATAAGAATAATGTCAATAATGGACTGCACCATAGAATACATTTCTGAAAATGCTGGCCAGCTAAAAATCAACGAAGACGATAAGCACAATGTAAAAATCAGTGGATATAAACTGTCGGTATACATGCAGGTGTGTGTGAGGAGTGTGTGTGTGTGTGTGGGCGTGGGTGTGTTTGCGTGTGTGTGCGCGCGCGCTTATCAAAAGTATTTGAATGAACGATGGTAAGTTGTATGAATGGAATCCTTTCTTAAGTTTAAAAAATTCCATTTTCAACAATAACTATTGAGCAAAGTCAAAATTCAAGCAAATAAATGCAAATAACCCCTTTTCAGGATGGCCTTAATGTTTATAATTTTCAATATTAAAGTAAATTATTTCGTTCATTTCAAGCGATATGTTTGTTGCGGACATTGGTAGCGTGTAATTTATAACGAAAATATTTCCGGTATCTTTCCAAAAAACTGATTTTGTATTAATAATCCGAAAAGCATGAAATATGACGTTTATAGAATAAGACAAGTATGTTGAAACGTTCATAATGAATCAGAATTCAAAATAATTAGACATATTTTATTGATTTCATAATATTTGATATACTCAGTCACTACATATGCATACGAACACACACACATATACATATATATATATAGTGTATTATTGATAAATTGAACTGTTTTGGTTGAAACTTTTCTTTAATAAACGCACCTTATTTGGGGCATTTTCTCTAATATTCAGTCTAATTTTTAGTTACCTACAAAATATATTTAATGTTTATGACAATTATGACATGGAACCTCAGCAAAATGATTCATAACGGAAATTAGTAACGTGTGCCAAATTCTCAGGCAAGTCAGTGGCTTTAAAATGTACCATCTTTTTATTGCCATTTAATCAGAATATTTTAATTTGTGATCTTAGTTCTCCAAGAAATGGGAAGCAGTGTTCATAAATTTATTTATTTAAAGAAGATTAATACTTGCAATTAATCTAACGAATAACTCAATCTCATTAAAAATCTGAATATTTCGCACTATTCACTCAATATGTTTTCAAAACGTTATGCGACTAGTAAAAAAATAATTTATTCTGTTCTATCTTTTCTGTCTTAGCGCCAATATACTTTGTTCTTGTAAACTTTTGGGGGGAATGGGGAGCTGCTATTAAGAGGAACTCCATTTTTTTTATTCAAGTGTTCTCCTTGCATCCTCATATAACATTTAATCAATATTTTAGTTTGTCTCGTGAATTCACGATCGGAACTTTTTTCTTCCCATTTTTTTTTTCTTTCTGATATAAATTTTTTGTTGGATTTCATTTTTTCTTTCTTTCTTCGTTATTGTCGTTATTTTTCTTGTTTTATTTTCTTTTGGAGCAGCTGTTACAGTTATAATCTTATTTTTATAATAACAAAAATCTCAATATGAAATATGAACTATGTATTTTATTTGTTTTAGTGAAGTATTTTATTACATTAATAGGAACTAAAATCGAATAATACTTTCGTCATGTTTGTTAGGGGAAATTCGAAAATTCAGCTAGAATTTACACTAGATTGAATTTTCTACTCATTTATAAGTAGTGAGTATATATTCAAGATATTATTTAAGGATTTGTCTGTTTACGTCCCTTTACACAGGTTATAAAACAAACAGTAGAAACGATTAAGTCAACAAAAGGTGATTCTTAGGAAAAATAATCTGAAAAGTCGCAAAAGGCTCTAGCATGCAAATTCCATTATTACAAACAATGAAAAGAAACATTCTAAATTTGGTATGTTATTTATTACGTATTGACAGTCTGTTTTAGAAACAAAATTAAAATGAAATTTTAAAATTCTTTCCGTTCGTTATTTTCATTTCAACAACTGGGAATTTCGCATAAGTTAATCTTTAAGCGAAAATAATACATCTTTTCAAGTTGGATTCAAACCTAAGTGCTCATCGTTAAATGAACGCACATGAAGTGGGCGTGCTGATCAAATGCAAAAACATGTGTGGACTAATGAATGTGAATGACTTCTCATATTTTTGACATTATTATGAATTTTTATTCAACTCCTGATTTCGTCAATTACTCTCAGGTAGTGTGTGTGAGCAGCTCCGGGTTGTTCGTAACGTGAATCTTATATTGATTGCAATGTTTACGAGACTTCCTCTTCACTATAGACGGGTGTTTATATACCCACCGTTTTTCACATCTGTCAGACTCAGCTAGGCCAACACGTGTTCACTACCCAGTGTCGGCATTGACATCGAGTGAATCGCGGATCTCTCCGTCCCAAGTTGGGGTGTCATCTCAGGTCAACCCCGCAAATGGCTTCCTTGATAGTCTGGTGTGAAATTAAGTACAAAGCCTATTATAGTAGATTCATTTATATCAGAACTTGTTCGCTTTGATAGCAATTATTAACTAACAATGGCAAAATAAATAAATAAATAAAAGCAATTATTGTAAGCAGAAAAATAGAGACGATCTTTCTATGTTCTGATTGTACAGAACTCACAATGTCAATTGGAACTGAACTGAATCACAAACTTTTACCAAGATCTAATATTTCACAAGAAAAGTTTTTTTTTGTTGTTCTAATTACCTTAAAATATTCCAGCGGAATACACTTGAATTTTGTTCTAACAGTAAATGATGGCAATGATGGTGATTCGTTAAAAATCTATCCAAAAATATGTTGGAATATTAGTAAAAGGTACCAATCATAATAAGAAAAAGATGCCTTCATTGTTTATAGCCTATGAAGAATATACATAACACATGGGGATCTGTTATAAAAATGATCAACAAAAAGCAAAATAAAAAAAAAAAATTTTTCTTTTAAAATCAACAAGAACATTTGACCGTAACGAAGCATTTCTATCTCTCTCTCTAATCTCCCTCCCTCACTCTTTCTCTCTCTCACACACATATACACGCATGCATACACGGTAAATAGAATGCTAAATACGCTTAATTAACAAAAATTAAAATAAAACGAAATAAATTTAATTTCGTAAGAAATACATGTGTCGCCATGACTACAAAATTGACGTCGTTAAGAGAAGATTTTTGGTGAATTTGGAATTTTAAGTTTGCAAGAAAAGAAAAACAAACTAAAAAAAAAACGTGACTTTCGAGTATGAATAACAATTACAATTTCAATCGTTGTATAAAATTATCTATTTCAGTTATGTTGTTAGATAAATTAAAAAACATAATGATTACTACTGTTTGAGTTTAGAGGTTTATAGAAGTGTTTTATTAAAATAATTGTTAGAACTAATTTGGGGCCGTCTTTCATTCCCATCGTCTTTCATTCTCATCATCTTTCGTTCTCATCATCTTTCATTCTCATCATCTTTCATTCTCATCATCTTTCATTCCCATTGCCTTTCATTTCCATTATCTTCTATTTCTATCTAATCCTGCAAGCTGACGATAGTTTATACATAGAAATAGAACTTTCAATAGCATTACTGGTTTTATTCGATAAGAATGTGAATTGAAATATGTCTACCAAATCGGAGTTTGAATTGATTTCTTATCTCCTTTAAAGTTTTCATTAAAGGTTATGTATATTAAAGAATATAAATTTGCTCCTTAAGTTTTTTTTCATCATTTTATTAATCATAACAAACCAAGAATAATTATTTAATCGAGAATGAAAACACGGGTTGATTTATTTTAATTGTAAAATCATGATACATGAATGTCAGTGATAAAACTTCAAGTTTTCAATAAACGTATCGTTGTCCTTGGGAGATGATAAAAATCTAAAAAATAATTTTATGTTTGCAGTTTAGTATATAAAATACTGTATGGATAGCAAATATTGCATCTGATTAACACTGTAGTGTAAATGTGAGTTTTAGTCTGGTTTGGAAACATTTTTATATTTTTGTTTAAGTCATGGCGTCGTACTACATCTGTTCATCTTCAAGATTTGCCTGTGAATTCTGTAATCTATGCAAAAATAAAATGTTATTTATGCTATTTCCTTTGGGCGGGTCATAAAGATTAATAAAATTTACTTTGAAGTAGTAAATGAACAGTTCTTTTGCTTGAAAATCGAGTCAACTGGTTGAAAAAGAATCGTTTCTTAGATACTGAAGATATTACACACCAAGAACAAGATGCGATTTATTTTATCTTCAACACGTTATAAAATACATATTTTAGTAAATATATAAACAGTACAGCAAAGGGAAGAGAAGAGATTTAAAAAATATATAAATAAATAAAAAAAGAAATAGATAGAATGGTCTTGAAGCTGGATACAATCTCTTTGTCAATATAACGCTTCTATGAAAAAATCAATGACTATAAGTTATTTGTGTAAAATAATCAAATTGTAGAAAAGTGATGAATTAATATTTCATCAGGTTTTAAAGAACATTTCATATTTAAGCATCAATCAATCATAAACATATATCAAGGCCGTATTGTTGATAAATGCAATTTTAAAAAAATCATGTCTGCTCGTTATTCATTAAATAATATCAATAACTTTTGCCATAGTTTATCGTCGCTTACATTACGTCACGCACATACAGACACACACACACGGTCACATATATATAATTTATTAAAATATTTGAATGTACTCAAAATTTTTAAACTGTTTCAGGTTTCCGTCATGATTGTTCATAAATTAAAAAAAGGTTTTATTTTCTAAAGCAGTGTCTTTCGAATATCATCCATCTTGAAATTCAATCTTCTTTTCGTGTCTTTTTTCCCTTTAATTACACAGATTCTGTGTAAGATATTGTTAAAAACGATTTAATTTCTTTAGGCTTTTGTAGACATTTTACACTTTCTCTACTGTAATAATGGTTAGGGATTTCTATCGGTTTCTCGATTGTTAGTCAGTTAGTAGTATAATGTTAGTATTTTTCAATTATTTATTTTCGAACAACTATTTTGAAAGTTTTTCTTCCGTATTTGCATATATTTATTGGCATACATAATACTCATGTAAATTTATACAACAGTACACGCGCATCTATCTATCTATCTATCTATCTATCTATCTATCTATCTATCTATCTATCTATCTATCGATCGATAGATAGATAGATAGATAGATAGATAGATAGATAGATAGATAGATAGATAATATCAAATCCGTAAGTGGTAAGGATAATCCAAGTAGGTTTTTATAATATGAAATATTAAAAAGATAGATCCATGAAGAGAGCTCAGTGTATTTATATACAGAGCAAAATGATATATATCAAGAAGGAAAAAACTTAACACATCATCGAAGAATTTGGTAATAAATTTATTTGGACAGATAAAGTTTTTAATATCCTGCTCATCAGACCGAAATTAATGGTTTAAATTTATCCAGACAATTTATTAAAAATTATTTTAAAAGTAAATCACAAAAGTAAAGGAAGTAAATGTCTAAATGACTTGATCTAGAAAAAAATTTCCTTATTGACGCAATAGGAGTGGGGGAAAGAAAAAGGAGAAATTCTTTCATAACTCGATTGTAATGAAATTGCTCATATGCAATAACGTGATATTAGCTTTGTTAGGATGAAAGTATCTATATACAAAATCGGCAATCATATCACTATGAAATCTGAGGTGAAAATAAATTAAAATACGGCACTTAATATTCTGTTTTCTCCTCTTTCTGTTTACAGTTCCTCTGATTGTCTGGATTTCTGATTTTCTACCTGTTTTATTTATAGTTTAAAACAAACCACACAAAAGATATTATTTATATTTATTGAATTTCTTAATTTTGAAAAGAGCACTAACATTTCTTTATTCAAATGCAACCGAGTAAATGTTTATTTCTCATATTAAGCAGATGAAATAAAAAGTAGCTGGAGAAGTATAATATTCCCGCTTAATATCACCTTTCTTTCCTAAACTAAATTATTACTAATCAGATATATAATAAGACTTTTTACCTCATCTTTATGTGACCTACAATTTAAATTTATAGTAGAAAAGTAAACATTATGAATTTAGTCAGAGACTGAAAAAGATATATATTCATGTTAATGTGTCCTTTTGGTTCTTCCTTACACATATTAAATAGACAAATAAAAATAAAAATGAATTATTAATCTATTCATCAAATTATACTCAATGTTCGTCTCTAAATTATGAATCTGTAGATAACGCCATATGTCAGCTTTTGGCTTGATTCCATATGTTACTTGCTGCTTGTAATCACTCATTTAATGTAAACTGATAAAGATTGTGATTGGATAATACTGATAAAATACTTGCTCAGTGCACAAAGCTTTAATGATCGAAATTAACTGCTGAAGAAAGAAACCCTCGAAATATCGTTAGAATTATTTATTTGGTTTCGCTAATTCCAAATAGTCATAATCTAGTCAAATAAAATAACTAAAACTATAAGCGTAAATAAAAAATGAATAATACCACAAAAGTTATCTTCCTAATTAAATAAAACAAAATAATTTGGGAATTCAACGAAGTAGAGTATTTCATTTTTACGTTTATAGTATACTAAATTAAAATGTCGCTACACGAACTAAATGCATTTGAAATATTTGAAATTGTAAACATTCAAGATAGTTAAATAAATGTTCTTAATTTATAGAAGACTATTTCGATCCATGCACTCAAGCTTTATTCTTTAACCTTTTTCCAAACTTATCTTTCTGGAGAGTACGAAATTACGGATAAAAGACAATATGCAGTTATTCTGAGTTTCTGAAACCTCTACAAATATAGATTATCTCTGTAAATGTTTCTGATTCTTTTTCAGAAAACGAAATAGAAATAGACGTATTTCTCGTGGTATTTTTGAAATATTTGGTTTGCAGCTCTTCGTATTTCATAGAGGTAAGTAATTTCGCTTTCATAGGATTTTTTAAAATTAATTCTTTTCTATTAATATTCTGAAATAACATGATGAGTTTCTAAGAAGTGTCGAATATATTGATCAGAGCAAGCAACTCATAGTAATATGCGTATTGCAGGTGTGTATTACATATTTGATATATGGAGTTACTTTCAGTTAATTCAAACCTTATACCTATCCAACACGAATATATATAATAAAATGCAAAAGAAAATGATCATATCACTAGTACACCAGTGCCAGTAAAATACCTAAAATGCCTGTTGTTTGACTTAATAGTTGATAGGATAAGTGTTAAAAGTTTACAAGCCGTTTTTGTCAATATTATTGTCTTAAGCTTATATTTAAAGTGGGAATATGAAATTTATTAAGTGGGACTATGTGACTATAATAAATATTGAAATAGGACAAAATAAATTGCTATATCTGTTCAGATTGATTCACTTCTCCCTAGATGATACCCAGAAACATAATGGCGTCGATGTCAAGATGCATATTTTGGAGCAAAAATTCCTGCGACTGAATTTTTAAAATCATTTCACACATGGTGGTAAAGCCACTAAGATAGTAGAGGCTACTGAGTGTGAAAGAATCCGAGAAAAAAGTTATAAAGTGGAGAGGACCATAAAAAGAACGTAAATTAAGGCGGCAGAAGACAACGTTTGACATTGCAGTAAAGTTTTGAAGATCAAAGTTGACTAGAAGCAAACGAGAAGTGCAAGAGAAGAAAATGCTAGCATAGAAATTACGGTTACATCTAGCCAATTCAACTGTAAAATGATGAGACCTAAGTCAAGGTATCAAAGAGGAAAGCTCATCAGAACGATTACTATGAAAATATTTATAGAAAAAGCACAGGGAAGCTACGTTACAGCGGTGGCAAAGTGACTAAAGCCGAGATGCTTGATAAAATTACAGATTCTTTGCATTTTTTTTCAAGAATCTCTAAATACATAGCAGAAGTACCAGATCAGTTTTGAAAGCACTAGCAGTTTAATAAGCTTTAATGATATACGAGAAAACTTCATTTTAACTTTCATTCAATCTGCCTATATTTTCTGACATTTTCAAACTCATAAACACGTTTTTCCAAAAGTTAATATATAAGATTTTATTTGATAAAATGTTGTTTTTTAGTAATTTGTTTTGTATAGTAATCTGTTTTGTAGTATTTTTAGCGTTTAGGTCAATATTTGAAAGTAACAACAGCATCGATTAGTAATCGACCAGTAATCAATCAGCATTGGCCTTTTAATTATTACCTACCTCATTATTTGATTCAGCATACTTATTTCGGTTGTTTATACACACAATGTTTTGGTCGTTAGACCCTTCGGCCTTCTTCAGGTATCTATTGTACTTTGAAACCTTATCGGAATTTTTTAACCAAAACCTTTATTCAACCCACGAGTGAACACTAATTTCATTCCGTCAAGGAGTTGTTTCATACAAGTTAATGCTTTAATACACTTGTGGTGTAATTTTGGGGGTCTGTATTTAGGTAGTAGAATATTTCAGTTTCCTTTTTTTCTTAATCAATCTCATAGAGCCAACTTTATACTTTCTTCTTATGTGCCATGTCCTTTCAGGACGTAGGAGATCATGGCTCTCCACCTCTTCCCCTATCCCTTGCAGCTCTCAACAAGTTCCTTCCCTCTGCTATCTCCCCCCACACCACATTCTGTCATCCACTTGCTTAAGTCCGCCAGGTATGTCACGCGTTGTTTTCCCTTGTATCTCTTTCCCTCTATTCGACCCGTGTGTATCAGATTCTCCAGGACCTCCTTCCTCATTATGCATCCCAGAAACTTTAGCTGCTTCTTCCTGATGTTAAGTATAAGCCTCCTCCTTGTTTGCATCATCTCTAAGACCTTATCGTTGCTCACACGCTCGGTCCATGATATCCTCAACATCCTTCTGTAGAACCACATCTCCGTCGCCTCGAGTCTCTTCTTCATCTTTGAGGAAATCGTCCAACATTCGCTGCCGTAAGGAAGAACAGATGTCACGTAACAGCACATCATTATTTTCTTTGTTACCAAGTGTCGCACTTTTCTTTGTTTCTCAGTGTCGCACTTACTCTCCTCTGTCAAAATGTTTCCCAGATATTTAAACTTCTGCGTTTGCTTGATTCTAGTGTCCCCGACCTGCAAATCGCATTTCGGGCTCATCCTTTAAACTGATGACCCTGCATTCTGTCTTCTTGTAGTTTATGCTTAATCCTTTCTTCTCTCTCTCCGTCGTTACCTTCTGTAGGAGATTTTGTCATTTCTTTTCCGTATCTGCTATCAGTACTGTGTCATCTGCGTATCTTATGTTGTTAAGATTATGACCACCAATGCTAAATCCCGATAGGGTTTTTAATTCTCTTAGAATTGTCTCTCAGTATAGGTTGAACAGGTCGGATTAGAAGACGCATCCTTGCCTTACGTCCCTTTTTCTATTTTTGTATATTCACTGAACTCGTTCCCTATGCGCATGCATGCTGTTTGCTGCCATATATAGGTTCTTGATTATTTTGATATCTTTCCTGAATATATCAAGGTTGCTGAGCAGTTCCAGCAGATCCTTGTGGCGTACTTTGTCGAAAGCCTTTGCGTAGCTTATGAAACATAGGTACACGTTTTTCTGCATTTGTATTGCTCTTTCTGATAACATTCTGAGCATGAATATCACTTTCCCTGTTCCAGTGTCTTTAACGAACCCGCACTGTTCTCGTCCTATCATCAGAATACGGATGATGAGTTTTGTCATGTGGCTCATTATTCTTATTGTTTCGTGGAGTTCGCTATCGTTTGCGTCTGGTTTCTTAGGCATAGCTACGAAGATAGATCTGCTGAGGTCTTCCGGTATATCACCGCTGTTGTAGATTTCATTTGTTATTTCGGTGATCTTGTCTATGCCAAATTCATCTAAGGCTGTCAGCATATCCGCTACAATTCCGTCTGGCCCAGCTGCCTTGTTTCTGTTCAATTTGGCCAGTGCGTCTTTTACTTCGGTTTTCAGAATTCCAGGTCCTTTGTTAGTTCTGTGTATTGCTGGTTCTTCCCTTTAGTCGTGGAAGAGTTCTCCAATATACTCCCTCCAGCGTTGAAGAATTTTTCCTTCTCTAATATGAGTGTTCCATCCTTCGATTTTAGGCAGCCTGTTGACGAGAATGTCTTCTGACCTGTTAGTTGTCTTATTCGTTTGTGCATGTCTCTTTTGTTGGTCGTACTCAATCTTTCTATTTCTGCACATTTTTCGTTTAGCCATTCTTCTTTAGCTTGCCTGCATTTGGTCCTTATTTTATTGTGGAATTTTCTGTACTTTGTTCTGTATCTTGGCAGAGTTTTCTGTCTCCTTTCCATTGCGTCGAGAATCTCATCAGTCATCCATTCGTTTTTCCTTCTTCATCCTGTCTCCTTTGGGACGATATCGTTTGCTGATGTCACTAAAGCGTTTCTTAGTGCTTTCCATTTCGAGTTTCCATTGTGTGCTTCGTATCTTCTTTTCACATTGTCCATATATTTTTCTTTTAGGTTAGTGTAGGAATTTGTTAATTGAAGAAACCTAACGCAGCACTTAAACTCCTGAGCGACCCTAACCTAAAAGAAAAATCTTTATACTACGTGGTCTATTGAGGAAGTTTTCATAGACTAAAATAGTCACTGAATCTTTTACTCATTTTTTAAAATGAGTAAAAGATTCAGCGAAGAGACTTGAAGCAACAGAAATATAGATCTATAGAAGGATGCTGAAGATACCATAGACCGAACATGTGAGCAACGACATGTGATCAACGGCATGGGAGCAACGACGAAGTTTTAGAGAAAATGGAAACAAAAAGGAAACTCAGGAAAAGACTGTTGAAATTTCAAGGGTGCATAATGAGGAAGGAGTGCTTGGATAATCTGATACTCACAGGACAGGCAAGAGGAACAAGGGAAAACAGTGCATAACCTATCTAGAGAGCTTGAGTAAATGGATGGGAGATCTCCTTTTTTTATAGAAATAGCAAAATTTATTAAGAGCTATGAAGGACTGGAAATTGTGGAGAGGCATGATCACTTACGTCTTGAAGGAAAACGGTACATAGAATTTTCGATTTTCTTGCAGCTTTACCTTTACGGGGTGGGGCTGGTTTGATCCTTGTATTTCTTGCCATAGTTGCATGGAGTAGAATGCAAATAGGTTAAGAATGATTAGGGTTTGGGAGATATATGTTCGAAGGAATATACTACTTTTGAATATTGTCCTGATGTATGGGCCGTAGAAATTCTGAATCTTTTCTGATGTACATATACATAATAGACAGGGCGGTGACAGGATTTTTTTTTGTTGCGTCCCTCAATTCTTTTATCCCTGCTTGAGGTAGTTCGTGTTATGCTTGCAGGGTAAATTTTAACTTGAAGGGTACTTCAAATGCTGATCAGCTGCTGTTGGTATGTGTGTCTGGGTTGCTACTCATGACTTTGTCCCAATGTTGTAGGCAGCAAATGATTCCTTTCGTCACTCTGTAAGTTCAGTTATTATCTTGTGAATGTTAGCTTACGCTATATGGATATCTTAAACCCATACTCTATGTGAGCTTCGTAGTTCAAAATTCTTAGACGGTTACTGAATACGAGAGGGAGCTGAAGAAGGCTGGAAGCTACATCATACGAAACTTTGTGCGTATAACCACGAAAATGAGAATGCTCATCCGAATAGCTAATACTGATAATTCCTCATCTAAAAAAAATTCCAATATAAATTGACTGTTATATAACTTCTGAACTTTTCTCTACGCAGCCTATAACCTCAGCTTTATTCTTCCGATCAGAAAACAATGCCAAGAAGCTCTTTTATCTATGAATGCATGCACATGTGTGTGTGTATGCGCGCGCGTAATTCTCCTGATTATATTTAATAGAAATAATTATAATACCACAAATAATACGTGAATACTACTGAACTGACTAAAATTTCCCACAGCCAAGAATTCACAACTAAAAATCAATACAGTTCTTATACTAATAAATTGATAGTATTCCTAATTGAACTTTAAGAAAATGCAGTGAAAAATCGACAAATATGAAGTAATGAGCCTAAAATTAACAAAAACAAAAAAACGAGTAAAAAATGTGTGTAACCCTTCAAGACATTTTAAAGAAATGTACTTTCTTATCAATATGACAAACTATGACAATATCCAATAACACCAAACTTTTATAGACATTAAATTGTTTTGTTGGATCCATAAAACAAATCCAATCTGTGAAGTAAATACATTTATTTACTTCTCCAACACTTAAACAAGGAACTGTAATTTACGAAAATTACACTTGAGAAGATATTTTAAGAATTGCTGAAAGAAATCAAAAAATTTATACTAGCAGCATGACCCAACGCCGGGTCATGCTGCTAGTATAAATTTTTTGATTAAAAAATTGCTTGATTAAAAAATTGCTTGATTAAAAAATTGTACGACTCATACAGCAATCGCTATCACTTGACTTAAAATATTTTTGACCTTCCTTGCCTTTAAAGGAGTGCCCTTTGCCGTGCTGATGTTGCTACATGCCTTACTTCTTGCCTATCTCACACTGCGAATTTTTTCTAAGCTCTATGCTAAACATTAAATCTGTTACGAAAAAAGAACTAAACAAAATGAACACAAAACGATCAGCTTTAAAAAAGGACTCGTAACTGGAAAAACCGAATGAAAAAAGAATGTTAACAACAAATACTTTTTCACACCCAACCCAGTTCTGCGGAATCAGAATCAACGTTGAATTTAAGCAGGCGAATGAGCCAATTGGAATAAAATGCCATGCAGATTTAAATTTTTCCCACTTGTGACGAATGCAGCTATCGATTTTTTGCATGCTAGCATGCTAGTTAACATTCGTGTCAGTCAGTTGTTGGCTCTCACGTTGGCCAATAGAATCTTCCTGCCTATTCGTGGCAGCCAGCTATAGGCTCTCACTCTGGCCAGTAGAAAATGGCCGCAAACTACATGAAAACTGCCGTAAAAGCATGAAAAAATCGATTATTTCCACTATCGATGAGAGTTTGGAAATGCAAAGTCGGTCTTGGCCTTCGTGTTAACTTGGAGCATGTGCATGTAAATTTTGGTGCAAATCCGTCGAAAATTGCGGCTGTGCATTTGTTACACACACACACACACACACATCCTGCCTTTTATAGATAGAGATAATGAGGAGTGGAAAAAGCCTATTTAAACAAAATATCCGCTAGAATAAACACTCCTGCGGTTAAACCGCTTGTTTTAATTCTTGTCTTAATATCTGAACAGCTACAAATGATAATTTTCCAAACGCTTGAAATGCAAATTACAAATAGGAGCTTTTTCTTTACCTGAAAAATAAGGGAACATCATTTAACACATTCATACATTTTATAATGATAATAATAATGTTAAAAGATCGATCACAAATATTCGAAAGACCTCAAAAATTGGAGTCACTATCAGTAATACCTAGTAAAGCTTATATGTACATGTGTTTTTCTTTCCAACTTATACAAATACACACAAGTATACACATATACATACAGTTACACTAATATTCCTGGTTGATTATCTGCAAACATATATACACAATTACAGAAACTTTGTTGGTTATGACTGATAAGGAATATAGTAACTGTTCTATTTCCGAAATAACGGAGAAATTGGATTGTCTTAGTTCTCAAGTCTAAGCGCCTGTTGACCATTATACTGCCTCAGTGAGAAAACTAAATAAAAAATGACTGGCGATGGGACTTAACACAGGAATGGTTGACTTCACTTTTTTTGTTGTTTGAAATACCATTATTGAATGCGACTGAAATTAAAACAGATTGTCGATTCTATTTTGCTGTTATTACAGACATTGTTTTGATGTCTGTGTGTAGTTGTATAGTGCTTACAGAAAAACGATCCTATTCCAAGCATGTAGAGAGGAAATAGGTAAGAGTCATTTGAAACATATGACCACTTTCTGATCTGATGATATACTGAAAAGCCATGTGAGTTGTGCGATGAAATAAAGAGAAAATCTGATATTCATCGAACTAATAACATATGTTACAGTGAATTCCAGTTATCTCTGAACCGAAATTTCTGACATTGTCTAGTAAGTAAACTCGAGACGTTATCCTCTCTTATAGTAATTGCTTGATAGTTCGAATCACTATAATCACTTCGCCTCCACAAGGCACTTGTTGAAAGTTTCATCCATGAAAGTGTTCATATTCCGATAAAACGTAAAAATCTCAAAAAGAGTTTTGCATTCCTTCAACGCTGAGTATTCATATGCGCCCACTAACATTTAGGCTTATGTTGATGAGATTTTACTCTGACAGTGATGATGAGCCTTTGTTTATGCTTGCAGTAACGAATCTTTACGCCTACGAAGACAAGTTTATGGATTGCACCCACGTAGGCAAGTATTTGCACACGCCCACATCTACGTAGGCCACCTTTACTTACAGAATCGAATCCTCATTACCAAGCGTCTGTTTGTATAAAGGTTTTATTTTATAAGAACTGTTTGCACGACTGAAATCATTGCCTTTCGTTTGTTGTTACCACAACATTTCGGCCATTACATTCTATATCCTTCTACATTAGGTGTCGTGTTATTATTCTCTCTCTCTTTCTCTCTCTCTCTCTCTCTCTCTCTCTCTCTCTCTCTCTGAGCATCATGCAGAAGTTTACATTACATTAACATTGAAAATCTCCACCCTGGCTGGGAATGGTGGTGGATAATAATAGGTACTGGATTGTTTATGTTTATTCAGCCAACTACTATTTCTATATCTTTCATGTTGATGTGCTAGAAAAAATTAATCAAGATGACAGGCGAAGGGACAAGATTTGAAATATTAGTGTGAATGTGAAATATTTATTTTATTTTTCATTCTTCTTGGATTTTCTTCCGTGTCCTTTCCTTTTTCTTTAACCTGGACAGCGACTTCTCATTAATCCATCTTATTTTATTGATACTTCACTTTCATCCATCTCTATTTTATTGATACTTCACTTTCATCCATCTCTATTTTATTGATACTTCTCTTTTATCCAACTCTATTCATTGATACTTCTCTTTCATCCATCTCTATTTTATTGATGTCTTTCATCCATCTCTATTTTATTGATACTTCTTTTTCATTCATCTCTATTTTATTGATACTTGTAATTCATCCATCTCCATTTTATCGATACATCTTTTCTATCCATCTGTTTTATTTATATTTCTCTTTCATACATCTCCATTTTATCGATACTTCTTTTTTATCCATCCTTCATCCATCTCTATTTTATGGATACTTCTCTTTCACCCATGTCTATTTTATTGATCTCTTTCACCCATCTCTATTATATCGATACTTCTCATTCATCCATCTCTATTTTATTGGTACTTCTTTTTCATCCATCTTTATTTTATTGGTACTTGTCTTTCATCCATCTCTTTTTTTTATACTTCTTGATATGTCCCGGAAAGGGATATATTTCATCGAAGTAGCTAAGTGGTTTGGTTACTGTAACAAAGTAGTACACGGTATCACCAATCGACTGGTAATCGTCGTAGTCGCATGTAATATGCATAGGCAATTGGTGTAGACCAATAGGATAGCCAATGGCGTAGTCCAATGGGCGTCGTTATAGACTTCAACTCTGTCGTAGCTACACGTCCGTCTGTATTTATGACGGACAGCAGCGAATCATATTCCCGTAAGGTGGAACTCAGTTGTATGCATATTCCATTATATCACGACTCATTCATCCATCTCTATCTTGTTGATACTTCTTTTTCATCCATCTCTATTAAATCGATACTTCTCTTTCATCCAACTCTGTATTATCGATACTTCGCTTTCATCCATCTCTATTTTATTGACACTTCTGTTTGATCCATGTCTATTTTATCGATAATTCTCTTTCATCTATCTGTATTTTATTGACATTCTCTTTCACCCATCTTTATTTTATCGATACTTTGCATTCGTCCATCTCTATTTTATCGATACTACTCTTTCATCCATTTCTGCTTTACTGATATTTCTCTTTCATCCATCTCTATTTTATTGATACTTCTCTTTAGTCTATCTCTATCTTATTGATAATTCTCTTACATCCATCTTTGTTTTGACGATACTTCTCTTCCATCCATCTCTATCTTATCGATACTATCTCTATTTTACTGATACTTACTTCTCTTCCATCCAGCTCTATTTGATACTTCTCTTTCATCCATCCCGGTTTTATCGATATTTCTCTTTCATCCATCTGTATTTTATTGATACTTCTCTTTTGATCCATCTCTTTTTTTTATTGATACTTGTCTTTCATCCATCTCTATTTTATCGATACTCCTCTTTCATCTATCCCTATTTTATTGATACTTCTCTTTTGATCCATCTCTTTTTTTATCGATACTTCACTTTCATCTATCTCTATTTTATCGATACTTCACTTTAATCTATCTCTATTTGCATTATCACGTCTTTTTCGAGGATTTTCGTAAATGAGTTTGTACATTTTCACAGTTCAAAATAGACGCAAATTAACAAATGAACTGATGAAGACAAAAAAATTTTTAAACTACCTTTCTACTAATATTTTTACTAGGTATCATGAAAAAATCTTAAAATTAAAAATTATGCCGATACTGGATCAACTATTCTTTGATGCAAACAGCACTTACTAAACGGAGAATATATAATTTCCATGGAAGTTATAAGAATGAACGCTTCACGTAGAGCCGCCCAAGATTCAAAACATTCAAACAAACACAAAAATCTTTGGATGAAAGAATAGCTTAATAACTCATGGTCAATATAACCACTTTGCGTGATATTCATCTTTAGTAAATTATAATACAATATTTTAATACTGTTAAAACACTAATGATGGAAATGATGAAAACTTTGTGTATCTTTATGGTATTAAAATAAATTTCCTCCTTGTTAGAAATATTCATTTGTCCAGCAGTAAATTAATTAATAAATTAAGTAAATTAATTTTGTGCGTCGATTGCTTAGTAGAAAGTAATTGAAATGGAATTGTGAATGATTTACCTTTTCTGTGTACTTTTGCGCAGGCTACCTGTATTATTAGAGCATATGATTAGTTGTAACTTTTCAAGATGGGCCAATCGGAATGTTTCAACATAACGTTCAAACGAATATCATTATTTAACACTTCAAAACATTTAATTGCACTTATATTCTCAACTGTTTTAATAAATACATGCTTAAATATTACATAAATTTCCTTTTGTAAATACATTTGGGTTTATTAATGTCTAAACAATACATTGTGTAGTTTTCTTTTTAGTCAAATTTATTTCAATTCTTTAGTGAAAAGTGGGTGAATTTATTGTATGAAAAGAGGAGGGGTAATTCAAAGAAGAAGCCTATTTGAGAATGAGTATTTATTACAGGAAATGTGGTAAGTCTTATTAGGAGAAGAAGTCACTAGAATACTTTTTTTCAAACCAGAATGACATGTACAACTATAAAAGAAAAACTTAACATATGATGACCCCCTACCCTAAAGATGTGATGGAACACACAATGGGAGAGGCACTGATCGAAAAAAAAAGGCCTTCGAATATACTTCTTGAAGTACATGTAATAATCGAAGAGGTTTTTCAAACTTATTTCATCCAAACTATTGAATAGAGAATAAATTTTCAGGTAAAGTTTGGTTGCAACACGGAAACATTTCATTGGGATACCCGAGAATTCATCCCTGGGTCATGCAACTAGCTTCAGTCGATATAATGTTGTTCTCTTTTTAAAATCTATGAGAATTTTGAGAGTTATGGGTTCTTTCCAGATAAGATCTGGAATGTACGATGAAAATGGATGTACGGTATCTCTAAAAAATGGTCATACAAGTTGGGGATTATCTACAGAGCGACGTCTATTAATGACAGCTGTGTTATCAGTACTTTAGGAAACAGTGTTCTTAAGAAGAAGAAGAAGAAGAAGAAGAAGAAGAAGAAGAAGAAGAAGAAGAAGAAGAAGAAGAAGAACCGTTCTAGCCACACACCACAACACACCTTTAAACAACCTTGGTTTCTAGCAAAATAAAGCAAAAAATCAACATATGTGTAAAGAGGACTTTTTAGTTAGAATGACTTAAATTGTCGTAAACCGAAATACCTCATCGGACACCCTACATTATTTAGCAGTAATCCTGACAAAAATGTCGTGAATGAAAAGGTAATACCCCTGCGATGTAAACACTTGCGAAACGAAAATGTATGCACATTTCAGATAGGAAAAATCTATTAATTCTATAATTTATATAAGATATTTGCTGATTTTAAGTGGCAACCATAGTGAATGCGGTTTTGCTCTTCATGTAGCAATAAAAGTGAATAAATAAAGGTTATGTAGGGAACAGGTCCAGAATAAAGGAGCTACCGTAGTCAGGTATGAACGAAAAAAATGGCTGTATCTAAATTTTCGTATCAGATATTTAAAGTTATGTGGTTTTTCTCACTATATTGGGATAGCTTTGTAAAAAAGAATGAAGAGCATTTATTTGCTATGACGCCCAGGACGAATGCCGAGTACGGCAATATTTGACTATGGTAGGCCTAATAGTATTACTTAGACGTTGGGGTAGCATTATACACGAGCTATATGAAAAAAAATCAGCTTTTTCACAAAAAAATTCAGGGGTTGCACTATACATGAAGTAGGCTTATACACGAATATATATATATATATATATATATATATATATATATATATATGTGTGTGTGTGTGTGTGTGTGTGTGTGTGTGTGTGTAAGTGCTATTCAGAAAGCCATTCTCACAGGACTGATTTCAAAAGAGTTAAAAAACGTCATAGTTAATTGTTAAATATCTTGACACATGTATTAGCGGATGGACATAGATGCATGCGTAAACCAACTAATTAGATGTTAGTGAAATTTGAAACACTAATCAAGTGTTCGTGTTAAGAAATGCCAGTCTTTTTCAGTGATTTTGAAGAAAACCAAAGCAAACTGAAATGATGACAATTCACTGTAAGATGCTAAATTATTAGAAAGTACGTATCTATCATTTATTAGAATTAATTAAGGCTTGATAATATTTTGGTAACAGAAGATCACGAAGAAAAAATGAAATTAAATTTAATAAAAAATTATATTTCAATAATTGTTGTCTCATTCGTGTCAAATATTTTCCATGGATCAATAACAATCATTTTTTACTGCAATCATGTTGGCGCGAAATAATTATATTTACATATTATGGCGTGAATTTTATTAAATGATTGTAAATAAGTCGAAGTCGTTTATCCCACACTCACACATATATAACCAACATAAATTGGGAAAGGAACGGAAAGTATTACATTTGTTTGTGGATGTAAATTTAACTTCGAAATGCTACAACAACGAATACATGATTTTGTGAAGACAATCGACTGTCATATTTCAGTTCATTTACCGAGAAGAAACGACATGGGTCAATAAATTCACACATTGAATTGTTTGGGAGTAAATCATGGATGATAGTAAGGTGCACTTATACCAAAACTTATTAAAGTTGAATTTTATCAGTTTGCGAAATAATATTTTCAACAAATAAACCACATATGAATTTATTTCCAGATTCACTACATCTGATCACTGTTATTGCTTTCATCTAGTTAGTCTTAGAGACCACTCCTCCTATAGTGTTTATAAACTCCATTGAGTATCTTCACACCGTGGCCTTGTGTTAAATTAACCAAACTTTAATAAATACCTATATCGATATAGTGCGTGTTCTAAAAGGCAAGTGCTATATACCAACACATTTGCGAGAATGTTTTAAAAGTAATGAAAATCAACATCACTAAATACAAGATGTCTTTCAGGTTTCAAATTACAACTAAATTTAACTTTTAAAAGCTTCGATTAGTATATAACAAAAAGGTTGGTAAAGAACTTGGTAACGATAGCAATCATTGACTGACGTTAATCGCTATTCAATATGGAGAGAAATCATCTGCCTTGAAGCCATTTCAGCGTCATTAATTGTAATATTGACGATTATAGAAAAGATTTCTGTCATTTTCTTTAGCTTTAAGTAAAACTGAGAATCGGTTGTGAAGTGCATTTTTCTTTAAACAGATAACATTCCTAAAGCGTTCCTCAACTTGAAAAGTTACATAGAATTTAGTTTATTGATACATCTCTCTAACTTGACGACTTCTTACTCTCAGTGTCAAGATACGTTTTCAACTTCTTTAGGGTAAATGAATCGTATATGCTTTCATAGATAAGACATTATATTTTGTACTATAAATTATAGTTCATAATTAAGTAATACATTTATAAAGAACATGAGAAATTTTTTGTCGTCATCTTTTAGATGATAAATTATCATTATTATATGTTTTGCCATTAGGACCAGCATGACCATTTTAGTTTTTACATTTTTACATTCCCAACATTCCGTCTGTTATTTCTAGGAAATTCGAACCAAAGACTTTATTCAATTCACGGCGGTATGATGTTCTTCTATGCTTAGGGTATAATTAGTATCATTTAATAGCCACCATTGATATTGACTCTTGTGTTGCTCGTCTTTTTCTTCTATGAAAAAGTATGTGACTTGCCAGCAATATCAGAACCAGGGATTGAACTTGCAACTGTTTTAACCAAAGCTTTAATCTACTAGGCCATGTGTCATTTGTAGAATGTACTATTGAAATTCCGGAGCCTTACGCATACTGTTTGTAATTAGATGGTCTCCGGGTTTAGGTGGTTGAAGTTTTGGGTATGCTTTCTTAATCATTGACTAAATGATAGTAATCTCTATAGTAGGTCTACTGAAGAGGTTATCAGTGCCTAACATGTGTGCTGAATCTTTCGGTCTTCTTATCCTCTAATGTTGTCTTGACTTCATTCTCATTGAGGTTGATGGCCATCCTTTTTACTTCATATGTGATCAGTCATGACTGATTTAAATACCATATAGGTGATTAGATATTTTTTGCTATTTAATTTTCGCTATTTAACACGGTTTATAAAAAACACCCTTTATAATTTAAATATTCCTTCGGATTTCTGTATCAGACTTTTCTAAGTCTGTTACTATATGTTGTGGGACTCTCCCCTTTTTACATAAGATGGACTCGTCCAAAGTATACTTATACTGAAACTGAGAATACCTGCGTTTGAGATACGTGGAGATACGTTGAGACAGGTTGAGAGATACGGAGACAGACACAGGGTGTTCTCAGAGAGTTATACAAGAGTCCAGAGAGAGAGAGATGATTATGGCTTTACTTACAGAGACTTGTACATATACTTTCTACTAGCCCGCATTCCTGGACTACTAATCTTCACTTCAAGTCTGTATTCTTATGGTTAATACACTTATTTTTCTATTTCAATTACTGACGTTGTTTATTTATTTGTTCAGGATTCCCTTCACGTAATCCACAACAACTTGGCGACGAGGATT